AAGGAAGAAAGAAAGAAAGAAAGAAAGAAAGAAAGAAAGAAAGAAAGAAAGAAAACCTCACACAAGCACGCTGCCAATTCAGCCAGCCAGGATCCAGTCTTTTAATAAATCCAAAAAGGTGGAACATCATGTAACGCTAAAACGCACTAAGTTTTCCAAAATATCTATCAAACTCCAAGATAGTGAGGGTAAAGCTTCTATTATTTCAACAGTTACTGAGCACCAACCATATGTCTTCCAGCAGCTCAGCAGACATGTTCAATTCTGAGATGTGACCTAAAACTCCTGACCACTTGGCAATGATGATAGCAGGACTAGATGTGTCTGGTTAGCAGGTCAGTGCCCACACTATCGAAGGGCCACAGGTGAGCCCTTCCCTGTTAGGACATCACTGTGGAGAGCTGTCTCAGAGGAGCACTGAGCTCTTCATGAGAACAGCTCGTGTTGCAGGACCAGCATCACCCTGGGTGAGAAGTTAGTGCACCAGAAGCACAAGGGCACATGCTCTCCTGCACCTCTTAGTTCTGTTCTGACAACAACAGGAGTATAGAAATTTAGAGACAAAAATAAAGATATGGGCCTAGAATAATTAAACATTTGCCCAAAAGTCATGGAAGAATACCAAAGCTGTGTGCTAAAATTCTATCCACATCCCACAGATATAATACATTAAATCATCTTGTCAAAAGGCATTCCAATTTGCCAAATGTCACTGCAGGTCTGCCCTTGCAGAGCAGAATGTCCCGTCACCGTTCTCTTAAGCTGTGTGCATCTGAAATAACAACATAGGACAGTCCCTCCTCAGCTTCTTAGGAACCCTGCCCTCAGCACCCTGGATGTATACCAGGAAGGGAAAGGCATAAAGAGAGCCCATGCTGCCTGTCTACAGGTGCTACCCAATCTGTGACAGTGTCGGTTTTCTCACATCTGTTGACTAGCTCATGACATCTGGCATTCTTTCCTCCCCATATTTCAGGAGAAATTAATGATGGGTCACAGTATGTCCACATTCCCAGAGCAGGAAGGTCCCAAGTGGGATACACAGGCCTCCTGATTTCAGTGGCGTGTTACACAGTAAGGTACACCGATAATACACCTATCTGAAATAGGCATTAACTTGGATCTCCAAGTCAGCAACTGTTCTAACAAACATTGCACAAGAAGAGTATTTTGACTTTGCCTTCTGGGAATGAAGGGATACTACTGGAGAACTGGCTGGACTAGGAGGCTCTTGCTGACCAAGCCCTGCTGGCCCTCCTTGAGGCAAGCAGAGGCCTTGAAAGTACTGTGTGACTCCTGAAACCAACAGACGACTGTGTGGCTCTGGACTGTGACTACAACCCTCAGCACAGAAAGACACAGGAAGGCTGAACAACCATCATAACCTCTAGGCAAACTGGAAAAGCTACCATGCTGCCTCCTCCTGCTGGGGCTCTAAGTGGAACCCTCAAAGGAGAGAGGAAGCACTAAGGGTGAGAGGTAGAGGGGTCAGGCAGTGAGGGAGGTCTGCTGTTCAGCCTGGAATCACAGTAATCAACAGAAGCCGCATGACAGGGAGGCAGTGCCCTCTCCCTGGCCAAGTCCAGCACTCACTCTTCCCCGACTCCCTGCATTCTTCAGGGCCAAGTGGCAATGGACTGGTGTCTGTCTCCACCCAGGATGGAACCTACCAACTTCTAAGAGAAAAAGGGCTCACCTGTCACTGCCTGATCTCCAGCACCAGAATGGTGTTTGCTCATGGTAAGCATTCAATAAATATGTGTAGAATGAATAAATTCAAGTCTTGATAAATATTTTACTATGACCTTGTCATTTAAAATCTACATTTCCTACAAAATGACATCAAAAATTAACATTCCAAGAAATAATATTTTACCACTGTAGTGGCTAACTTGACTTGTTAACAGAACCCATTTAAAAATGGCCAACTGTCCTTTTAGAAATGTAAACAGTGCTAAATAAAACAGTTTGGATTTATTCAATACTAGCATTACAAATAGTTTTCATCACTTTAAGAAACTGCATATTTGGGTAAGGACAATATACTTTCACAATTACATACTATCAGCTATGTGTCCAGCCACCAGATTCAGACATAACACAGGTGACTTTATTAATCTATTACTTCCCATACTGAATATACCCACATGCTCAATTCTCCAGTTTCACAGAATTACGTCCATAAAAAGTTTACTCTTCTCACATATCAAAATCTCAAAGGCATTTCACAGTTGACAAGATAGCTACATGAAAATCACACTAAGTCTCCTTACCAGCAGACAATTTAGTCACTGTTATCTCTTACAGCTCAATGTCAGTCCACTAGAATTCAGTCTCCGAATCTTCCAAAACACTTTTTAGGCTGTGACCATCACAGAAAAATCTCTAAAATGAATCATAAAGATGGTATCTCAAACCCAGCAAGAAACTACAATCATCTATCAGGAGGCTCTGGGACTAGTTCCAACCCAGCTTCAGTGGCAGAGGCTGCTGGCTGCCCGCCCTGGGTGCTAAAAGGACACGTGGAACATCCTCTCCAGCAGTTACAGGCAGAAGCTACCAGGAGACTTTTTTGGAAGGTTTCTTAAGGGGGTAGCTCTTTTGCCTTCCCCTTTCTCAGTCCTGGAGCACTGACCTATGGCCAGAGTCCAGAACCACAATCCCCATGTGGCTCGGAGAACAGAGGCCAGGTGTGGAGCCAGAAGGTGGTCAGATTCTGATGGGATTAGATCACCATTACTCCATTACTTTTGCTTTGTGTGTTTGTGTTTTTGATATATCTTTATTGTTGAAAGTATTACAGATGTCTCCTTTTTCCCCTCCACTGACGCCCTCCACCCTGCTCCTGCCCCCTCCCCAGGCCTTCACTGCACTATTGTCTGTGTCCATGGGTTATGTATATATACATACTTTTGTTCTTTGTAGCCAAAACTAATCCTGACAGAGTAGCCTAGAAACAACAAAGATTCCCATCTTGCTCTACATCTAAAAATGTTACAGGTGCAGAATCAAAATTTTTACTTGAAAAAAATCAAAAGAAAAAAATCAGAGGGAACCTTGAGCTACCTCAAAC